CAAAATCAATATTATTTGTTTCTTTATATGCAAGATCATTGTTAATATTTTTTATAATATCATTTATAGTTGTAATAAATGTAGGTTTCAAAAGTTTTTTTAGAAAGAAGGAAGACGAGTCCTTTTACATCTTCTATTGTATTTCCAATTTCAACATAATTTGATTGAAAAATGCAATTTACCTTATTTATTTCATTAAGAATTGGCTTAAGAATAATTAAATACAAGTAATTAGTTTCATAATTTAACATTTCGTTAAGCATTCTTGCTGTATAACATTTTTCTTTGTTTACTACTACATTAAAATGAAGTTTTAATTTATCATAATGTTCTAATATTATATTTATCACATTGTATCTACATAACCATCGTGTGGAACACAACTGTACAAACTTATGAAAAGTTTTTTTATTTTTATTTAATAAATCGTATAATCTTTTATATTCAATTTTTCTAAGAGAACTGTGACTAAACCACGTATAAATTTCTCTATAAAGGAAATCTAAATTTGATGGTAACATCTCAGCTGCTTTAGACGCCGCGTTATTAAGTGAATGGCAAATGCAACAAATAAGCTGAATATTTAGATTAACTTCTTTCAATCTAGTATATAAGGAATTATGTCGCCCACATAGGTTATTTGCTCCGTCTGTGCCTATTCCAATCAAATTTAAAAGATGTAATTTTAAATTTCTTAAGAATTCTTTTAATTTCAAGTACAAACATTTTGTGGTTGCTTCTTCTATTTCAATTAGTCCTAAAAAGCAGACTAAAATTTTCTGTGTTTTTTTTACTAAAATATCGTATACAAATACATAAATATTTGACCATTGTCATGTCAGTACTTTCATCAATTATTAAAGAGTAAGGACAATCTTCCAAATCGTGCAACAAATCATTTAAAAGAGTTGGTGCAATTACTTTTTTAATTAAAAGAGAAGCCTTAGTTCTATGAAGACTTATACTACTATCTTTCGAGATACAATTATATATCTCTGACAGATGGTTGATACTATTTATTGAAAAATGAATAGCAATATAAACAGCTAAAAGTATCTCGATTTCCTTTTCTTTTTTCGAAAAAATAGTTACATGTCTTTCGGAGAGTTTTTGTTGATTCTTGTCCGGAAGAAAACTTTTCATATTTTTTTTTTGCGCTGTACTTTCCGTTTGCCTGATGAGATCAGCTTTGTGTGCCCTTACGCCTGTTATACAAACTTTGCAAAATGCAGTATGAAGTGTTTTCCTGGGTACTCTCAATTAACCAACCTAAATATATAATAAGAAATTACAAACTTGCAAACTTCATTTTTAATATAAGTACAACGTAAATAGTTAATGTTCAAAAAGTTTTACCTTGAGCTCAGGACTCGTTTTTCCATTTTGGATTAAATTTTTTAAATTTTTCCACTTTTTTTGACATATTAAAATTTTTACTAAAATAACCAAAAAATATGGCTCCTGCAATTTTTTGTGCTTTCACCTTTAAAGCGCCACTTTTCGCCATATTTTTTTTCTTAGTGTGCCACAAATGTGCCAAAGCGCCGAAGCAAAATTTCACACTCTAGATCAGTACAAGAGCCACATTGGGGCTATTGCGCCATGCCTGGCAACCCTGATTCCGCGCGTTACGGTATCAGAATTCTTTACAAAAAAAAAAAAAAAAATTTGCTGACTACGTCCTGCTCAGTATTTGGCAGAGGGGCGCGGTTCACAGATTTTGATTTTCAAGATTCTGGAGAGGAAGTTTTATTAAATAGAACACATAGGTTGGGTTAATAAAATAGTTAACGATGTATTTGATGATAAATAGACAATTATAGGATTACATATACAGAATTGGTTAACAATAGTTATAAATTAGAGATAATAAAACAACATGAGCCTATTACGAGCTATGTGAATTGATGTCAAACATATATATTTCCAAACTTTACATCAAATCGTATAAATCTACTTTACAATGATACAATGAGACGTTTCGACGCTTACTTGCGTCTCTTCAGTCATAATTAGTTAAAACATAGTGAAACGTTGGTTAAGCCAGTACGATGTGATCCGTATTAAATCAACATAGTGAAACGTTGGTTAAGCCAGTACGATGTGATCCGTATTAAATCAATTCTTCTCTAATATGTCCAATGTCTCGCGATTTCTATTATTAAAATTTTTTATTACATCTAACACTTCTTTAAACAATATAATCGAAATTCAAGTAACTTATAATATAACTCTCACCTTAACTTTCAAATTAAAAAACCATAGATTGACACTAGTCACAGAAAGATAGAACATCTTGATACTCATGTTGTAAATACAAAAGTGATACGAGTCGCGACCTGGCACTCTATATATATCTGCCGCTAATTGGTAAACATGTTTTGTAGAAATTGTTTGAAAAGTTCGTTAAGAAAACTCCAATAAAGAAAAATAACTGCTATCTAATGTATCTAAATTTTCAATTTTATTTAAATTTCTGTTTTATTGTTTTATGAAAATCATCTCTGATATTAATCGTTTATAATAATTGGGTTTACGATCAAGAATTTTTATGTTTTCCCAATCAAGAGTGATTTTCACTGATAATATGTTCAGATATTACCAAAGGTTTCGTGTGTAAATATCTAATATTATTTTTATGTTCCTTTATTCTTGTCTTTAATTGTCTTTTTGTTTGACCCACATAAGTCGTATTGCAATCGTTACAATTAATTTTATAGATAACATTATTGGTCTCCATCCTTGGTGCGGACTCCTTATGCACCTTAATAAATTTATTTAGACGATTGAAACAATTGAAGCCTGTGGCATATTCTGTTTTTTTTTAATATTTCGCATACTCCCTCTGATAATCCACCAATATACGGAACAGCTATGAATCTTTTCTTCTTTTTATTAGTAATATTGTCATTAACCTTAGCATTGTTTAATTTAGTGAATATTAAACTTTTTATTCTGGAAATAGCATATTTGAATATAAACTGAAGAGGATATCCATTACTTAATAAAATATTGATGCTAAATTTTATATTTTTTTGGTGAAATTTGGGATGTGATAATAATATAGATCTGTCAATTAAACTATAGATAGTACCAATTTTATGGCAGGTAGGATGATTTGAATAGAATGAAAGATATCTGCTCGAATAAGAATTTTTTTGGTACCAATCTATTATAATCCTATTATTGTTGGTATAAATTTTTGAATCTAAAAAGTTTATAGATCCATTATCTTGCAATTCATATGTAAATTTGATTCTATCGTGAAATAAATTAAACATATTTAATGTGTTCTATAAAGCATCCTTTTTGATCGCAATTAGAATATCATCAACATATCTGTAGTAAAACTTAATATCTTTGTCAAATTTATATAAAACTTTATTTTCTAAATCTTGTAATAAAAGATCAGCCACAATAGGCGATAGTGGAGAATCCATAGATGTTCCAAATGTTGTTTAAAAATTGTATTATTAAATTTAAAATAAGTGGAATCGAGAATAAATTTCGTCATATGTAAAAATTCATTCTTAGGTATATTAGTGAATTTTTCAATGTACGACCAACGATTAGAAATACTCTTCATCGCCAAATCACTTTTGTATTTACAACATGAGTATCAAGATGTTCTATCTTTCTGTGACTAGTGTCAATCTATAATTTTTTAAATTTGGAAGTTAAGGTGAGAGTTATATTATAAGTTGCTTGAATTTTGATTATATTGTTTGAAAAAGTGTTATATGTAATAAAAAATTTTAATAATAGAAATCGCGAGATACCTAGGACATATTAGAGAAGAATTGACTTAATACGGATCACATCGTACTGGCTTAACCAACGTTTCACTATGTTTTAACTAATTATGACTGAAGAGACGCAAGTAAGCGTCGAAACGTCTCATTGTATCATTGTAAAGTAGATTTATATGATTTGATGTAAAGTTTGGAAATATATATGTTTGACATCAATTCACATAGCTCGTAATAGGCTCATGTTGTTTTATTATCTCTAATTTATAAATTAACGAGCTTATTTATTCATTTAATTTAAACAATAGTTATTCTATAATTACGGACCGGTATTATCGAAAGGTTGAATAATATGTATAATGTATAAAGACAGAAATTAGATCCAATAATACATAAACGTCGATATAACGCGGGACGTGAGAACGATACTTTACAAAGTTATCCCTAGGGACATTTCCCCTAGGCCTCACCAAATTTTTGTATAAGTCCGGTATCTTATTCTTTTACATAACGAAAAACATACCAAAAAGAGAGAGATCGCTGAGATATTTTACATAAAAAAGTATAATATATATAATACTTACAAAATGATACGGAAAATTTAAATATTATATATAATAAGGTCATAGATTTAGTTTAAATGTTTTGTTCGGAGTCCGTCCGAATTGTTATTCGGCATGATAGGCGCGTGATACTATACGACTCTCAAGCGTGAGCACGTCGTGATCTTCCCTGCGAAGCACGCTTGCCCCGTTTTTGGGTGAAATGCCTAAGCGCTCCGACGAGTCAGTCGTCCGAGAGACCCGAAAAGTTAACGAGCGAGTGATCCGCGATTACGAACCCTGGTGAATTTATTTTCTAAAGTGACATTATTATTCAGTTTATAATCTCAATCAGGCTTTATTCTTACTTGTGTTTTATTCGTTACTGTAAATTTACCCTTTTTTTGTGCCAAAATAAAAACAAAGTTATACAGTCCATTATTTACTTGATTGCGTGGCGTCCCACGAACATTTGGTCCTTCGAGCCGGATCATCCGCGGATCACGCGTGCACACGGTGATACCGTTTTGCCAAGCGGTAGGGACTCTCGATTATTTTATTTTTGCTCGCTGTCTGTGTGTGTCTTCCTCGCGCGACCGCGGTACACCGAGACAGACGACGTCGTCGCGGAGTCTCGACGATTTCGGACAAGCTCAAGGAATCCGACGATTCTTTCGTGCAGTTTTAAGTGCAAGGTGAGTGCTCTGCAATGGCCACCGCTGCGCCTCCGCGTCCAGCGCCAACCATGCAAGATTTGTTAAACAAACAAGCGCGGCTACGGGATTACATCGCCCACTCCGTTGAAAATCAACGGAAACAGGGCCGATCACGCGGCGGCCTAGTGTCACGTATTGATTTGACCGATCGTTACTGGGAGCAGTTTATGCAGAACGATCGGGAGTTACGTCGCCTGGGCGAGAAGGCACTCGCTGACTCCGACTACGTGCGGAAGGACATACTCGGGGGCGTCCAGGAAATTTACCTCCAGCAGAGAGGCGAGCTGCTCGACATGCAGGACGAGCTCGAGCGAGGTATGACGGCTCGATCTGTGGAGGTAACTCGCGAGACGCCGGGGGCCGCCGTGGCGACGAGCGTCGCGGCGCCCGGCGTGCAATTGCCGCGCGTTCCAGTTCCGCGTTTCAGCGGCGCGTTCGGCGAGTGGCGCAGTTATCATGACTTGTTCGAATTGCTTGTGCGCTCCAACGTGGCGTTGTCGGCAGTACAAAAGATGCACTATTTAAAACAAGGGTTAAGCGGAGAGCCGGAGAGGCTCATTAGAAACTTCGGCGTGACGTCGGAGAACTTTGAGTCCGCGTGGCAAAAACTGTGCGATCGTTATAACAATAAGAGACTGCTGGTGACCGCGCACCTGTCCGCCCTTGTCGACATTGCTTCGGCGAAAACGGAAACCGCGACGGAAGTGCAGCGCGTCTTCGATGGGGTCTCGGAAATCCGCACATTTTTGCATCACCTCGGGCGCCCGGTGGAACGTTGGGACGACTGGCTCGTCTATTTGACAGTCTCCAAGCTCGATACCGCGACGAGGCGCGACTGGGAAAGACTCACGAATACGGAACGTGAGCCGTTGCCGTGGAATACGCTAAGCGAGTTCCTCGAAGGAAAGATGCGCGAGCTGCACGCATTTTCTCCGTCGCCGTCGACCTCCGCGTCGTCCACGCCGTCGGCTGCGGCAACGCCCAAGAGTGGAAAGACGTCTCGGGCGCGCGTGTTAAACGTCTCAAAATCGAAGCCGCTCCCGGGTAAACTGTACAAGGAGACGCACTTTATCCTGCACTGCCCAGAGTTCACGAAGATGACAGTCGCTCAACGGAAGGCGAAGGTCAACGCGCATCAATTGTGTGGGAACTGCCTGTCCAGCTTCCACCTGGCGCGCGATTGCACATCCGCCAAGCGCTGTCAAGTGTGCCACGACGCGCATCATACCCTGCTGCATGCAGATAGTCCGGTCGGGTCCGACAACCAGCGGGCCGCGGAAGCGCAGACCGCGGCGCACGTGGCGTGGCAACCGCGTGCGAAATCAGTGATTTTGACGACTGCGCGAGTGCGACTGCAGGTCGAGTCCGGACGCTCGACCGTCGTGCGTGCCCTTGTCGACCAAGGGTCCGAACTCAACTTTATCTCGGAAGCCGTGGCACAGCGGCTGCAAGTTACGCGTCGCCCGGTTCGCGTGCGCGTTACCGGGATGGGCGAGACCGAGACCGCTCTCGCCCGCGCGGCGACAACCGTTGCGCTTCGCTTGCTGACGAAAGATCCGTACGCGCGGCAACTCGACGCGCTCATTCTGCCGCGCTTAACGTCTTACAGACCTCCGGTCTGTTTTCCGTCTACTCAGTGGAAGCACATACAAGGACTCGAGCTCGCCGATGACTTCACCAGCGCTACGGGGATCGAAGCGGTTCTAGGCGCGGAAGTCTACGCGGACATCCTCATGGGCGACATCCGCAAGGGCGAGAGGGGATTGCCAGTGGCGCAGTCAACACAGCTCGGCTGGCTGCTGACGGGCACGGTCGCCGACGCGACCGCATCGGAGCAGCTGAATGGCTGCTCGCTTCACTGCCAAAAGGACGAGGTAGCGGAACAACTACGTCGATTCTGGGAGGTCAAGGAGCTGCCGTCCGCGTCTCCTTGGAGCAAGGAGGAGACGGAATGCGACGAGCAGTACACGGCCACGCATCAGCGCGCGGCGGACGGCCGCTACATCGTTCGGCTGCCAAGACGGGAGGCAACGGACGGCACTAAACTTGGCGACTCGAGAGCGGTAGCGCGAGCTTCCCTGCTACGTCTCGAGCGTCGCCTCGCACAAAGTTCCACCCTGCGAGAGGACTACACGCGGTTCCTCCGCGATTATGAGGCACGGGAGCACATGACACGAGTCGGCGACGACGACGGCAAACGCGCGGCCGGCTACTTCATGCCGCATCATCCCGTGTTCAAACCTACGCCGGACGGATCCAAGGTCCGCGTGGTTTTCAACGCTTCGCAGCCCACGTCGACGGGAGTCTCCCTTAACGATGTGCTGCAGGTGGGGCCACGACTCCAGCAGGAGCTGCGGGAGGTGCTGCTGCGTTGGAGGATGCACAGAGTCGTCTTCGCGGCGGACATCGAACAGATGTTCCGCCAAATCGCTGTACATCCCGAAGATCGGCCGCTGCAGCAGATCCTCTGGCGCGAAGATCCGGAGCAGCCTATCGGGTGCTATCGCCTCAACACGGTGACATATGGTACGGCGAGCGCACCGTACTTGGCGATACGCACCCTGCTGCAGCTGGCGCACGACGAACAAGACCGCTTCCCGGATGCCGCGGCTCTGCTGCGACGCGGCACCTACGTCGACGACGTGCTAGGTGGAGCGGACTCCCTGAATGAGGCGAAAGTGTTACAGTCCGACCTAAGACAGCTGCTCAAGGCGGGCGGCTTCAATCTCAGGAAGTGGGCTTCCAGCCGAGTGGAACTTCTGGAGGGCATTGCCCACGAGGATCGAGAGGCGATGGTGGAACTCGACAATCATGAGCGGGCGACCATAATGCTGGGCGTACACTGGGTGCCGGAGTCGGACGTCTTTCGGTTTACCCATCGTCCTCCGGTGCCACCCAGAATCACCAAACGCGCCATTCTCTCGGCAATCGCGCGCCTCTTTGACCCGCTCGGTTGGTTGGCGCCGATCGTAGTGGTCGCGAAGATCTTGTTACAGGAACTCTGGCTACGAGGAGCGGATTGGGACAAGGACGCCTCACCGGACATGGAGACTCGGTGGCGGAGGTTCTGCGAGGAACTCCCTGCCGTGGCTGACCTTTCGGTGCCACGATGGCTGGGCTGGTTTCACCAGGCGGAGCGCGTAAAACTCCACGGATTCTGCGATGCGTCGGAGCGGGCATACGCTGCCGTCGCGTACTTGCGGATCTTACGCCCGGGTGAACCGGCTACCGTGGGTCTGATTCTGGCCAAAAGCAAGGTGGCGCCCGCGAAGAGGGTCACCTTGCCGAGACTCGAGCTGTGCGGAGCGCACCTACTGGCTAGACTCTTGGCGTCGGTGCGGGACTGCATTCCGGTGACCTCAATCCACGCCTGGACGGACGCGACGATCGTGCTTGCATGGCTGCGTGGACACCCCTCGAAGTGGCAAACCTACGTCGCCAACCGCGTCGCGGCCATTCACGAGGCTATCCCGGGAGCGGTTTGGCGCCACGTTCCGACGGAGGACAATCCGGCGGACTGCGCGTCGCGGGGATTAATGCCGCGTGACCTAGGGATGCATCAAATCTGGTGGAATGGCCCGCGTTGGCTGACGCGACCCGTCGAGGAGTGGCCCGCGACTCCCTTGGACACCAGAGCCGAGCCGCCGGAGGAGCGCCGAGTTGTGCACATCGCGGTCCAGACGGAGGAGGAGGACTTCCTCACCCGGTTCTCCACTTACGGTCGAGCATTGCGTAGCGTGGCGTACGTGCTACGCTTCCTGCGCAAATTCCGACCAGTCACCAGGGCTCTCGCGGCCTCGGAGCTCCGACCCGCGAGAGACACCCTGCTGCGCGTCGCGCAGCAGAGGCACTTTCCAGTCGAGCTGTCTCGGCTAAGGAGAGGTGCCGTTATCAATCAACGCAGCCCACTGACGCCGCTGCAGCCTCGACGAGGATGGGTTGCTGCGCGTCGGTGGTCGGCTGCGACATTCACGTCAGTTGCAGGAGGAGAACCATTCAGTTATACTGCCGAGATTCGATCGCCTTACAGAACTCTTGGTGAGGAACGCACATCTGAGGGTTTACCACGGCGGGGTTCAGATGATCTTGGCGAACCTGCGGAGGAACTTCTGGATACCGGCGGGTCGCAGCCTGGTCCGTGGCATTCTTCATCGCTGTGTTACGTGCGTGCGGCATAGGGCCGCCCCGTTCCAGCCTCTCATGGCGCCCTTGCCGGCGACCAGGGTGACGCCGGCTCCCCCGTTCTCCACGTGCGGGGTCGACTATGCTGGTCCTATCGGCGTGCGGACGACCAAGGGGCGAGGACACCGCAGTTGCAAGGGGTACATCGCGGTTTTCGTGTGCTTTGTGACCCGCGCGATGCACCTAGAGCTGGTGAGCGACTATTCGACCTCGACCTTCCTTGCGGCGTTCCATCGCTTCGCTGCCAGACGCGGCGTACCGGCCGTCGTATACAGTGATCAGGGCACGACATTCGTTGGAGCCGATCGGGAACTGCGGACGGCCCTCAAGGCCGCTGGTGCAGAAGGAGGCCCCATCGCGGAAGCACTGGCGAACGACGGCACGGAATGGCGATTTCAACCGCCGGCGACGACCCACTTTGGCGGGATCTGGGAAGCCGGGGTCAAATCGGTCAAACACCACCTCCGCCGAGTCGTCGGGGAACACACCCTAACATTCGAGGAGCTTGGCACCTTCTTGGCACGAGTCGAGGCGTGTCTCAATTCGAGGCCTCTACACGCCATATCGGACGATCCGGACGACCTCAGCGCGCTGACTCCGGGACATTTCCTGATCGGCAGGCCGCTGGTCAGCGTTCCGGAACCGAGCCTGGAGAGTGTCAACGAGGGACGACTCTCCAGATGGCAGTTACTCCAGCAGTTGACCGAGCACCTGTGGTCTCGTTGGTCGCGAGACTACTTACATACCCTCCAGGCGAGGGGAAAATGGACCAAGGAGACCGAGGCTCCCCGAGTCGGCGAGCTCGTCGTCGTCCGGGACGAGCGACTCCCACCGTCGCGCTGGATGATGGCGCGGATTTTAGCGCTACACCCCGGACCAGACGGTCGCGTGAGAGTTGCACAGGTCCGCACCGCGGATTCCACCCTCACGAGGCCTCTGGTCAAATTGGTGAGGCTACCCACCGAGGACGACAAGGGGAAGACACCTTGAGTTCAACGGACCAGTGGCCACTTCTTCCGTCGAGGACGACGGAGGCGGGCGGAATGTTCGGAGTCCGTCCGAACTGTTATTCGGCATGATAGGCGCGTGATACTATACGACTCTCAAGCGTGAGCACGTCGTGATCTTCCCTGCGAGGCACGCTTGCCCCGTTTTTGGGTGAAATGCCTAAACGCTCCGACGAGTCAGTCGTCCGAGAGACCCGAAAAGTTAACGAGCGAGTGATCCGCGATTACGAACCCTGGTGAATTTATTTTCTAAAGTGACATTATTATTCAGTTTATAATCTCAATCAGGCTTTATTCTTACTTGTGTTTTATTCGTTACTGTAAATTTACCCTTTTTTTTGTGCCAAAATAAAAACAAAGTTATACAGTCTATTATTTACTTGATTGCGTGGCGTCCCACGAACATGTTTATCATGACCAACACACATTCAGGGTTTAGTTGTTATTGAAGACACATGTGATACAGATAGGAAAAAAAATCATATCATCGGTTGTTGTAATTACCTTTGATCATTGTAATTAATACATTGCTAATTGTAAGTTTTCTTTGTTCGTGTAAGTTTTTAATTGTGCTGGAAGTTGTAATTATTTGTAAAACAATTATGTTTTATCTATTCATTTGATAAAGACCTAAACCAGAGGTCGAAACGTTATGACTTACATCTAATAAACGAATAATATTTGTTCAGTTTTGGTCGTTTATATTAATAAAAAAACCTCATAATTATATATTTTGCGTATAAAAGTCATATAATTTGTTAATTAGTTGACCGCTATAATGCTTACACATACATATATAGGATCTATAAGGATAATGGAAACGACAAAATAAAATCAGCTGTATAATAAAACATCAATACTTTCTGACTTGTAAAAATTAATAATAGATAATAAATTGATAAACGTGCAAGTATAATTACGGGCTTGAGCGCGTAAATTTTACGCAATATTAGCAAATTTTAATCGCTTATAATTCAAAACTATTGTGGCAATATATATACATATATGTTTTCATATTAGAATTTGATTCTATTTTACCTTTAATATATGTTGTTAAAGTGTTGTATGGAAGTTGCAAGACATCCTGTGTATATATATATATATATATATTATTATATCATTGTAAATGGTTTAACAATTACTTCATTTGCTTCTTGTTGATGTATTTGTCCATCTCCAACAGCTGGCGCTGCCATACATTTTCGACCACAGTATTTTAACTGAAAACGATCATTTATTATATTGTATAATTTATAGAAGAAATCAAATATGGAGATAATTGAGTGACACGTTTTGAAAACATCTCATTTGCAAAATCCCCCCTTCCAAAAAACAGAGTAGAAAAAACCAAGAAGTAGTCAAACAAAAAAGCAAATAAAGATAGAAAGATAAGAAAAAATAATAGCAAATTAAGATAGAAAAGTCAAGATAGAAAGGAATAAAAAGAAGTAAATTAAAATATGTAAGATATATGATTAAGCTATTTGAAATTCCGTTATATATGATAGCAAGGAGAAGAGGGAAGAAAGAAAAGAGAAATTCTCGACATTATTATCAATAAAAAATGTCATCATTTATTAATACTCCAAAGAAAAGTAGAAAGTGCGCAAAGAAGCAATATTTTTATTATTTTCCTTTTTAATTATTTCTTTATCACTTTGAGGCAAAATTGATAAGATAATAATCGATACCTCAATCCCTGCTGATAGTTCCCATTATTTTCTAACGCAGCAGTTGGTTGAGATAAAAATTGGAGTGTATCTAATTGCCGAATTAGTTCACATTTCAGATTCTAGCATATAGTATGGTAGTAAGAATGGTCATTGTGCCATTTACTAGAAGCTCAAACATACTAGCGGAATATATATTTTAGTTAGAAGATGTAGACACTTCGTAGCAGCAAAGTGTGGATACTTTCAATTTATTATAGAAACGCTCCTACATAAGTATATCACTCGTAAAGACCTGCTAAAAAAAGAGCCGCTATCAAAAATAAAACATTCAAGGTTTGATCTTTCACACGAAAAAAAATAGAATTGTTGAGTTAGCAAATTTATAATTTGCTACATAAATTTAGTGTTTATAACTAAACAGATTTGTTGGTTCAGCAAAGAAGTTATATCTAAAAGCAATTATCAGCATGCTCATAAAACAAATTCAGTTTTGTTATCATCTCAGAGTAATGCAAATGATTTACAGTTATATATAAATGGTATATTTATAAATTTTATATATATATAATATATATATATATATATATATATACATATATATACAGTACCCTCCATAAGTTTGGAAACACCTTACTCTTTACAGTTAAACAATCGTATGGCAGTAATCTGTGTAGATTTTTTGTATCAATAAATCGTAAAATATTCAAATAGCATTTTTATTTATGACAGATCGCTGCCATGTGATTGTTTAACTGTAAAATGTAGTGTTTCTAAATTTGTGAAGGGTACTGTATGCAATAAATAACAAATGTCCATTTATAAGTGTTTTTTATCACGATTAATAATATTTTAAATAATATTCTGATAAAAACATTTCATTAAGTTTATATTCTTGCATGTTATGAATATCTAATTAAAGAATATTTCTTTAGAGAATTTTTTTCTTAAATTATAACGGACCGCTTTCCCGGCGCGGCCGGATCGCTCAATCGGGATTACAAGGTTCGGAAAAGGGATTTAATCCAAGAAACGTGCGACTCGGTGTACGAATTTTAACAAGTGTTTATTTGTGTACTATGTACAAGTGTACAAGTGTACAGGTGTGTGTGTGTGTGTGCGTGTGCGTGCGCGCGCGCGCGTGTGTGTGTGTGCGTAAGTGTGTGAATGTTCATGTGTGAACGTGAAAGTGTATCACATTGAATTGCGCGTGCGACGTGTGTAAGGCAGCGTATGTATGTGTATAAATGTGCGTGCAAATGCGTGTATGTAATTATAAAGGTGTGACGTGAGTATGACGGCAAATGTATATGTATGCGCATAAACGTGAGCAGATGTGCATGCGAACGCAGACGCCAGGATAAAGATATGTCGCGTGTATGACAGTGTATGGATGTGTATAAATGTGCGTACGAATGCGTGTATGTAATTATAAATGTATGACGTGAGTATGACGGCGAGTGTATATGTATGTGCGGGTGCGGATGCGTGGGTGCAAGTATAAGTGCGTGTCCTGGTAAACGTAGCGATGCGTGTGCCGGTATCAGTGTAACAGATCAGTGTTGGAACAAATGCGCCAATTATTGCTTACGTGGCATTGGATGCAACGAGAAATAACAATTTCTATTTTTGCGTCGGCGATCGGAATTCGGTATTTAAAGGGACGGCCTTTTCTTTAACTTCTCACGGCCGTGTTTATTTTCCTTTTCCGGGCGCGGCGCGGTACGGTCCCCGTGTTGTTATTCCCCGCAGATGTTCTCTCTCTCGCGCGCGCGGAAGCGAGAGAAAGCGGTGTCGCTTCCTTTTTTTTGAGAAACCGGTGTTCGGTTTCGGGTATTCGCGTCGTGGGGATCCCGTTTATTTCCGAGGATATTATCAGTTAAAATCGGCCGCGGGAACTCCCGACAGAGGCGGAGAAATTCCAACCTCTGGTGTATGCAGCCAATTGTATTATATAGGTGGATAGAGCGAGGAGCGGATTTGGTGAGAAGACGCTCGAAGCGGCTTCGGAAGTGGGAACGCACCCATACAAGACAGGGTACCCCCGATCTCTTTGTTCTCAACCTTTTCGTTTGCGTTTTTCCGGAGAGGTACTTGTTCTAAGACGGTACGGTGCGGAATGCCTCTTTTCGGTTCTTCGCGAGCTTTTTATTCGGCGTTCTCCGTATGGCTTCGTAATTCTTCGGTCTAATTCCTAATTAACGCGGCGCGTGGGGGAAGCGGTAATTCTAACAGTACTTTCAGCGCGGCGTATATATGTCTCTATATTTTTATATAGGTAGGTATATTCGGGCTTCACGGCGCGAGCTGTATCGTTAT